GAACAGCTCCCCTCCATCCAGCTGTTGCATACCCTTCCCCTCAATGTGACATTCATTCTCTTGCTTCACCCCTCTCCTGGCCTTGGCCTTGGGTTCGAAGAAGACCGGAGCGTAGAGGAAGGGGGAAAGGCTCACAAATGGAGGAAGTAGGGCACTAGGGGCCGTGAAGGAGCTGGGTTTAAGAAGTGCAGGAAAGGGGTCTCACCTCCTGTAGCAGAGATTCCCTGGGGTAATAGTCGCTGAATCTCTAAATAGGTTGGCCACTGGGATTCTCTCTGACCCTCCAAACCTATCTTTCCAGGGGGGAAGGAAGATTCACCTGAGTTCTCTCCAGCAACCTAGTTTTGTCTCAGGCTACAAATAACTGGCATTTCTATAGCACTTTAAGCTCTGCAAAGTGCTGTACATGTAGTATCTTATTTGTTCGTTACACCCGTGGTCCATCCAGTTATTAGTCCCCACTTTACAGATAAGCAAACTGAGGCTGAGAAAGGATAAAAGTGACTTGCTCAGGGCCACAGAGCTACTAGATGTCTGAAGCAAGATTCAAACTCTGGTCTTCCTGACTCCACCTCGCTGCCCCAGTGAAGGATTTTTCCCAACCCCTACCAGTATCCCTGTAGATAGAGCCACCTTCCCTGATTGCAGGTTTGACAACCATTGTTTTGAATTGAACTCTATGCTTTCTGAGCTTCTGAGCACATGGGGTTTTAGCCAGACTGGTGACACAGCTGGATTAGTGAAGACAGAAGGAAAAGGTCCAATCTAGGCTCCTCTGTCCAACTGCTATCAGTGTTTTCTGTAAAGAGGCCTGCCTAGGGGCAGCCAGCTGGCCCAGTAGATAGAGCCCTAGACCTGGAGTCAGGAAAACCCAAGTTCAAACCCAACCTCAGACACTTACCAGCTGTGTGACCATAGGCAAGTCTCTGCTGCCTCAGTTTCTTCAACTCTAAAATAAGAAGGAAATAATAAGCATTTATATAGCACCTACTGTGTGCCAGGAACTTTACAAATGTCATCTTATTTGATCTTCACAACAACCCTGGGAGGTAGGTGCTATAATTATCCACCTTTTACAATTGAAGAAACTGAGGCAAATAGAGGTTAAGTGACTTGCCCAGGGTCACACAGCTAGTGCGTGTCTGAGGTGAGATTCAGGCCCACTATTCAATAGCTGCCTGTTATATGTTAGGGATAATATTAGCACCTACCTTCTATGAAGGTGAAATCATTATGTAGATCAAATGAGATAATATTTGTAAAGTGTTTAGCATAGTACCTAACCATGCTAGATGCTGCTGTTACACATAGTAAATGCTTTTCCTTCCAAGCCCATTTTTCATTTAGGAGATGAGAACAATGTCTGTCCCTCAGGCCATTCTGTGAACTAGGGTTACCAGAGGCAGACATCCATTCCCACGGTGGCTCCCCTCCCTCGACTACCCAGTGCCTCCCCCCAACTAACACACCACCAGACAGCTAGACAACGAGCACTTCTGGGCTGGAGTAGGGTGACCTGTAGGAAAGAAAGCAAAGAACTTATATAAGTGCTTGGAGATCCTTAAGGGAGCAGCTCATTCTTAGGCGATCTGTAACTAAAGCAGGAGAGTCAGAAGATGGTATAACAGAAAGAATGATGTGCCTGAGAGTCAGGAGATCCTGGCCTGTTGCTAACTAGCCATTTTTAATCTCTCCTGGCCTCAATTTCCTTATTTGTAAAATGATGAAATTGGACTAGATAGTTTCTAAGCCTCTTTCCTTAATATGCCTTTTCCTCCTGTTTTATAAACCTCAGATTCCTGGTTCTTAATAGCCCTGGCTTTTCTCAAAACCCATTTTATTCTTTCTTTCTTCAGTCCAGGGAAACAAAGGTTGTGCAGGGGATCTGACCCCTGAAAGAATCTTGGGGGGGGGGAAGTGGCCAACAAGGACCTTGGCTTCTCCCTGCTCTATCCACTGTCCAGCCTCTGCTACCACTGTAATTCTGGGGGCATCCCTAGAGGCCCAGCCTCCATCTGTTTCATGAGCCCTTTAGGGAGATGAAGGGGGAGGGGAGATTCTCTTATAAACGATTCAAGAAGAGTTGAATCCAGAAGAAACAACCATCAGATTCCTTTTGGGATCTGCATTCTTCTCTGGTCTCTTCTCCCTACCCTTACTTTCTCCCACCTCCTGTGTCTTCTTTCCTTTCTGCCTATTTCTTTCTCTGAAGAGCTCAAAGAACTAAGAAGCATACCTTTATCTATAGTTGTTGTGCTACATGGAACTTTTAGTAAGACTCCCAGCCATGGTCCCAGGGAACACATCATTTTTCTTGGTGCTGAGTGGAAGGGAAATAGAAGTACCAAGTATGAATGGCAAGAACAGAACCCAAAACTGAGACCAAGTCCAGAATCCTACTTCTGTCCCTTAGACACAGTCACGACAACCATCCCACCCCAGGTAGTAGATGTTTCTGAACTTGGCATTGGGATCCCCATGATATCCCATAAAAGATTGAGGGGTGAGAAAGACTGGGAAATCTAGGACAAAAGGTTCAACTATTCCAATCCAGTCGAGGAAGTTGGTTGAGATGCAGTTAGAGGATGTTGGACTTGGGAGTCAGGAAGACTTGGGCTTAGCCCTGCTCCTGGTACTTACTGTGTGGTGTGACCCGGGGCAAGACATGTAGGCTCTTTGTAAGTTATAGTCTTGTATTCTGCACCTGTGTGCCCATGAAGTCAATCTGAGCACACGGGAGGGATCTGTGGAGATCAACAGCTGTGGGTGGAAAGAGACTCTCCAAAGAGAAATTGATGGGCTCCCAGACTGTAAGCTTCTTGAGGGCAGGGACTGTGACATAATTACCTAGCTCCCAAAGTACCATAGTAGGCACTCGATACTCATCGTTTTCCATTTAAATTGAGTGAGGAGAGCTGGTAAGAAGGCACAATAGGAGAAAAGGAATTGGAGTGGAAAATAAGGCAGCATGCTGTAATGAAGTGGAAAGACCTGGGGGTGAATCCTGACTTGGCTGCCTGTGAGTATGAGCAAGTCATTTATCCTCTCTTAGTCTGTTTCTTTCCCCATCTATAAAATGGGTCTAATGAGCCTTGTGCTACTTCTGGAGTGGTTGTGAGGAAAGTGCTTCATAATCTCAAAAGCTTTTTTGTTCCTTCTCCCAGCCCTGCACCCCATACCCCAAGAAAACCCTGTTCCCATCTCCCTAGATCCTCACACTACATCTCATAGTATAATCCTTTGCCCTATCCCCACCCTTAATAAGCCACCAGATCTTTTTCGTGGTAAGGAAGAGGGGATTCAAGTGGACTCTTCCTCTACAGTAAGTGAGCATCCACCCCAGCCTCCTGGCCTGCCTCCCCACAGCTCCCTCCACTTCTCCACTCTCCTCACCCTAGGTTTGGAATATGGTAGTTAAGAGGTGTCTCAGGACTTAAACAGTGGGAGCCTGGACTTGTAGGTTATCCTTAGCTCTCCATGGTATCCAGGGGAAAGAAGGAAGTACAGTCATTGTGCTAAGCACTATGATAATAATCCTAATAATATCTAACATTTATATACTTATTGGAGATGGCCCAGTGGATAGAGCTCTGGAGTCAGGAAGACCTGAGTTTAAATTCAGCCTCAAACACTTACTAGCTGTGTGACCCTGAGCAAG